GTAAGTTCTGTGTTGCTTTGTTCTTACAGTCTCACCAAAATCTTTTTATTTATTTTTTTGACACTAACATACATTGTTGATGCGCATAACTGTGCTCCTCTTCGCTAGAAAAGCATTTCAGTACTAGAGAACTAGTTTGTTTGGTAACACTTTAGAATACGGTTCCTTCGTTAATGAATAACTACACAGGAACAAATGAGTAACACAATATTAACAATCTAGTAACTACTATTAACTAACAAGAAATTCTGATTAACAAATTAGTAAGTAACAGCGCACAGATGAAAGTGGTGGTTCACTATTAACTAATCAATAACTACTTTTTTTTAATGCTTCCCAGAGAACTACTGTAAGAATCATGGTAACTAAGTAGTAATGACTCAAGTGTTACTACATACTTCTAAAGGAATGACTAATTATTTGGATCCGTATTCTAAAGTGAAGATCACGGTAACTAACTAGTAATTACTCAAGTGTTACTACATACTTCTAAAGGAATTACTAATTCTTTTAAGCTTTTGAGGTTTTTGGTGAAGTTTTAGATAGTAATTCCCATAGAAGTATGTAGTAACACTTGAGTAATTACTAGTTAGTTACCATGATCTTCACTTTAGAATACGGATCCAAATAATTAGTAATTCCTTTAGAAGTATGTAGTAACACTTGAGTAATTACTAGTTAGTTACCATGATCTTCACTTTAGAATACGGATCCAAATAATTAGTCATTCCTTTAGAAGTATGTAGTAACACTTGAGTAATTACTAGTTAGTTATCATGATTATTACATGAAAAGCCAATCCTAAAGTGTAGAATCTTCTAATCCTTCACAAGATATTTGCACGCACGTATGAGGTAGGAGACATTAATAAAATCTTTTTTTTTTTTGCGAGGTATAGGTTAAATAATAAAATCACTGTATATGGTATTTGGATGGCCGATAACTCAATATGTTCCAGCCGTCACCGTGACTCTGGCCAATTTTCTGGCATTCCTCTGGACTGGCATTGAATCACTACAGGACAAGTAAGGTCCCGACAACTGCATTTAAAAAGCCATTTCTTTAAAATTATTCAGTTGATAAATAGTTCTCTAGGAGAGAGCATAGGCTAATTATTTCCCAAATCATAAGTCTGCTATGCTATTACATATTGATAAACCTTGTGTATTTGTTTACAGCAGTTATTAATGTTAATGTAGTGCTAGTCATTTGTCCTGCATTAGTTATTGATTAGTTTTGCATGAACTATTAATCTTCTTCAGTAGTTCTCTGGGAAGCATTAAAAAAATAGTAGTTATCAATTAGTTAATAGTGAACTACCACTTTCATCTGTGCGCTGTTACTTACTATTTCATTATTCAGAATTTCTTGTTAGTTAATAGTAGTTACTAGATTGTTAATATTGTGTTACTCATTTGTTCCTGTGTAGTTATTCATTAACGAAGGAACCGTATTCTAAAGTGTTACCGTTTGTTTGAAATCAGTCCCAAACGAACGCATTATAGAAGCTCATAAACCTGATGGTTTTGGTGCTGTTACCTTGCCATTGGTAATGTGTGTTTTTGCCACAAGTGTGTTCTCATTGAGAGAAGATTTACTATTGACGAATCACCCTATATGACCCAGAGGGCAAGAATTTGAAATGTGGCTAAAATAGAGACTAAATTTGGCACCAGGTCAACCCCTCTGCGTAGACTAGAAGTGAGCAACAGATGGAAAACTATTTTGGCTACATTGCTTACATCTTTGTGATTCCATAGAATACACACACTGCAGAAATAGTCTGTTGGACCAGCGTGTGTTAGTATACACTAGGAACTGTCCTAATACACTTATTGGACTCAGTTCATGAGAAACAGTTTTTTTCTGAAGAAGTTTTTCTTTGAGTCTATCCAAAACTTACTGCAACAATGCTAGGCCATTCTGATTGGTTGCTAGGTTGTTCTGATTGGCTGCTAGGGTGTTCTGAGTGGTTGCTAGGGTGTTCTGATTGGTTGCTAGGGTGTTCTGAGTGGTTGCTAAGGTGTTCAATGTGGTTGATTAGCTATAGTCTCTAGATATGGCCTTCCTTCAATAAAAGTCTATGGAGCTTTTTCCTGTTTTTATAATCCGAGTTAACCCTTGTGTTCTGTTCGATTTCTGTGTACACCCCTTATGGACCGGGTCAAATTGACCCTAATTGGACTCAATACAATTCCTCAAAAATCACACTATGAAAAACAACAAAGATTTAATATCAACATTTGTCAAACATTACAAAAACATTATATCTGAAAATATGATTTATGAAAATGTTTTTAAAACATTTTTTAAAACAGTTTTCTTTTGACAAAATTGGAAAATAAACAGTATACTGATTTTTGTTGCATATATTTTTTTTTTCCTTTTTTTTTTTTTTTTTTTTTACATTTTATGCTTTGAACATCGTAACTGAACAAAAAAAAAATGCTGTATAATGAAAATGTTTCATTTTCCTAAGTTAACTTTACCTAGTTTCCTAAGACCTATTTTCCTAGTTTCATTATTCACTCACTGGGAAGTGAGAAACCAAACATAACAAAAACATACATCAAATAAATGTTTTTTTTATTTATTTTTGGCTCTGTGAAGCTGCCTTTGAAAATCCTACATAAAAGTTTTGGTTAAAAACTAGGTATTTTAGATATTTTGAATATTGAAATGAGAGCTTATTTTACTATCTGTGTCTGACAAAGATTTTCATCTGTAATTTGCAAATAATTCTGAACACTGTAATTTTAGCTTTTTCAAGTGTGTTTGGTTAGGGTTAGAGCACTTTTAGATACACTTGCACGTTAGAACTGGAGTTGAAGTGCCCTGACATACAGAAAATAAATGTTTTTATTTTGTGTCTGTACAGTTGCTTTTGAATGGCTGTCTATGAGGGTCAAATTGACCCGCGAACATCACGAACGTAACAGTAATTTTGTTTGTATATGTCAAAACACATCAGCATGTTGAAACTTTGCATGCATGTTCATCATGATAAATGAGAAAAAGTCACAAAATATCAAGAAAAAAAACAAAGGTTAACCAGTATTTCCAACAACTTGAAAATCGAAACGGGTCAAATTGACCCGCAACATAACACAAGGGTTAATCCGATGGTTTGGAAAAGTAATAGTACACCTCTCCTCTTTCAAATCACTATCCTTTATTAGCAATATATCGATGCTTGCCTTAAGAAACACCACTAATTAAAAGTCTGTCAAGTCTAACAATGAAAATTGATTCTTGGCAGCAAGAACTGCAGCAGGCTAATGCCTTTTGGATGAGGTTTGCCAAATGAAAGGTGAAGTGTTGAGATAGAGGGCCTGTGGTAATGCTGCCTCGCTCAGAAAGCGGAAATATAAATAATTAAAGTTATACAGTGTCTGGCTGCATCTCAAGCATTGACGGATGACTGGTTCTCGATACAAATGGAGATAATCTAAATAGTGTCTACTTAATTGCTTTTGCATTGAGAGTTTGTTTGGCAAAACGGCTATTACCCTCGAATAGCTCCAATTAAAGTAATTACGTGACAGTTTTCCCGCATTTTAGCAAGAATTCAGTGCTTTTATCGCATCTGATAGTTGTGAACATAATATACACATCATTTTCTTGACATCTGTTTTTGGTGCTGAATGAACATAGTAGTAATGGCGCTGTGAATCAGTCGTGCAGCATTATTACGATGTCAGCCACATGCCTGCTTATTCAAACAATGCTTGCAACTAAGAATAAGTCATGCAACCTTTCATTCGTGCTGGTACGGTTTCTTTGTCTGACACTGAGTATCAACCTGTTGTGATCTTGCGAGATACTGGTTCAGAACAGTCCTTAATCCTGAAAGAGTTACTTAAAAGACCTTTTCCTCTCACAAATCTGGTATTTGGTGTGCTTTGTGTTTGCAGTTGTAACATTTCACAGTTAAGTTGATTCAGGTAGTGCATCAATTTACACCAGGTAATTCCCTTCTAGTAATATATGTCCCGAACAGACAAAGCATTTCATATATTAAAAAAATTACAGAAGCTCTTTGACAGATATCTGACCAGCACAGGCTGAAACAGTATGTGGGTTTCCCCTTTTATAATACTAGGGAAAAAGAGTGACATTAATGAGGTGGTGAAACTTTATTGCGCTGTCTGTTTTGACGGTAGCTCTATGGAAAGCCCTCATAGTCCCACACAGTACTATTAATGTTGTCTGGTAGCTTTACAACTTAAGTCAAATGGTTAAAATCAGCCATCTTTGACCCATTGTGCTTTAAGGCGTTTATTCTCATTTGGTGAGATTTTTAATAGATGTAACGAGTGTTGGTTGCCAGTGCGGAAGTCAAGCCACAGTGCTAGAATGTAGTGGGTGATTGCCAAGACATTGTTATGAGATTGCTAAGGTGTTCTCAGGGGTTTCTCATGTTGCTATGGGGACTTCAGGGTGGTTGACAGTGTTACTAGATAGTTTTCAGGGTGTTTTCTGTTGTTGTGTACTGGCTCATGTTGAAAGTAGTGACATGTGAAGGCCAACCCATGGTAACCCATACTCGAAATTTGTCCATCCAAGTTAGTGCACACACATCAGGAGTAGTGAGTAGTGAATACACACACTTCAAACCATGGACAGGCATTCACTGCGCCGCCCGAGGAGCGATTGGGGGTTAGGAGCCTTGCTCAAGGGCACTTCAGTCATTTCCTGCTGGTATTGAGAATCAAATACGCAAACTTCAGGTTAACAATCTGATTCTTTAACCGTTAGGCCACGACTGCTCTATCGATTACGTTTGGCTTGAGCCAATAAGATTGTCTTCACCATGAAGACATTCATCCAATTACTTAAAAAATAATAGAAAACCTCCATAATTACGACACTGATTATGCACTTAAGTCTAATAGTCAGGATTAGGGCAGGAGTGTCAAATCCTGCTCCTGGAGAGCCATCTTAAGAGTTTCTCCAACACCATTCTGGAATTTTGTCTGAATATGCATACTTTCCAACTA